CCTTTATCCATCTTGAATCAATTTTTGTGAGTGGAGAAAGATATGGGTCCAGTTTCAATCTTTTACATGTGGATATCTAATTCTCCCAGCACCATTTATTGAATAAGGACTCTTTCCCCCAGTGGACGTTCTTGTTTGGTTTATCAAAGATTGGGTGTTTGTAAGTTGTTGGTTTCATTTCCTGGCTTTCTATTCAATTCCAAATGTCTATGTCTCAATTTTTGTGCCAGTACCATGCTGTCTTGACCACTATGGCCTTGTAGTACAACCTCAAATCTGGTATGCTGATGCCCCTGGCTTTGTTTTTGTTACTAAGAACCGCCTTAGCTATACGGTTTTTTTTCCTGGTTCCATACAAAATGCAGAATCATTTTTTCCAAGTCTTGAAGATAGGATGTTGTTATTTTAATAGGTAGAATATTTGAATTGGTAGATTGCTCTGGGAAGTATAGACATTTTTAACAATGTTATTCTTCCCCAGCCATGAGCATGGTATGTTCTTCCATTTGTTATAGTCCTCTGCTATTTCCTTTCTTAGTGTTTCATAATTTTCTTTATAAAGGTCCTTCCTTTCCCTGTTTTTAAAGTGACACATGACTGTTCATTCAAAATGGTGCTGCTGCCTCTTCAGTGATGTATTGTACTTCTTCTTGTGTTGTCACAAAATCATGTTTTTTCCTTAAGTTCTTCAAATGCTAAATATAGGAAAGCTAGCACAGCTAAAAATGAACAGAGAATAGTCCTTGATTACTGTAATGCTTCAAAAAGTTGGGGGTAATGTTAGGGATATAATTTTGCAAACCTACTTAGTGACTTTTTCTTTGTGTTTGACTATAACACAGATTGAAACTAAGAACGTTAACATGAGCAATTGACATTTACTTATCACATGTTATGTCAGGTACTTTATAAAAATGATTACTTATTGTCATAATGACCCGAAAGGGACATATGCCCATTTGACAAATGAGGAAGCAGGGTCAGAGAGAGTGAGATTGCCTCAGGACATTTGGCTAGTAAGTGACCAAGCCAGGACTGGAACCCAGGTGTGTGGAGTACCGAAGCCCATGCTCTTTGCTTTCTGTCTTAAAATTGTTCTTGTCAGCATCTCTTGGATGCCATGAGACAAAATCATTTGTCAATTAAATGACTTCAATGAAATGTGTTCTCTACCATGCATATGTTAGGCTGACATGACAAACAGCAGAATTTTCCTTTTCCATAGAAATTTTATCCCTTCTATCCCATTCTTTACTAATTACCACCATAACTACACTCTGAATATATAGAAATTATGGTTTCTTTGATGTAAATTTTTTACCATTTTGCTAATAGTGATTTTTATTTGCTCCCACTCATAGCTTGGATTGCTTTCAAACAGCTAAGTGTCATTTGATGAACTGGCCACAAAGTAAGATTTGCTATAAAGCATATACACAAGATAGGAATCATTGGTTATTTTTATTGTATTTTTAAAGTCCATTTTTGGTCACAAGTCAAAAGATAATGAAATGTTCCAAGTATGAGTATAAGGTGAATAATAGAGTCTACCCTTTACTGAAGAATTAATAACTAGTCCATTCCTGGGCCGTTAGTTGTTAGATTAGGTGACCTTTATTTATATCACTGTGTTTCTACAATGAATTGTCCTGCAGCTATGTATACTTGATTTTAGTTACGTCTTATCATTGTTATATAAGCAACCACTTTTCGAGGGGAATTGTTTCTGTTCCAATCTTGTTACTCTCTATTTTTTCTCCCCATTGGTCAAGTACAACATAAGATTATGATTCCAAACTCTGAAGGATTCCAAGAAATGTGATGTTGTGCTCATCCTCTCCAGGTGACTTTGGATGGTCATGATATTCGCTCTCTTAACATTCAGTGGCTTAGAGATCAGATTGGAATAGTGGAGCAAGAGCCCGTTCTGTTCTCCACCACCATTGCAGAAAATATTCGCTATGGCAAAGAAGATGCAAAGATGGAAGATATAGTCCGAGCTGCCAAGGAAGCCAATGCTTACAACTTCATCATGGACCTGCCACAGGTACCCTGGCCTTATGTTCCAGGGGAACACCTTCAGGAAAAATTTACATGATAATCTGTATTTCTTTTCATTTTGATTCATCTTGATTCATTAAATCCTCAATGTCATGTTTTATTTTCAGTCCTGGAAATGTACCACAAGTTTCCTTTTCTTTTGAAAACACTTTGTTTATTGCTTCAAAAACTACCAGACTGGGGAGGTTTCTTTTGAAAAGTTCCCTTTGTTGTTAATATATTAAGAATCTACCAAACTGGGGATCTATCTTTTTAAAAATTCTTTTTGGCATAAATACCATGTTCTATCCATTCTATCAGTTGAGCATTTGTCTAAGCAGATGCTAAATTTGTCGTGTGGCAGTCACTTGCACAGTGCTCTCTTGATGTCTACCATGGTCATTGTTCCTTAGTTTTCTTGTGCTTTGCAGCTAATACTGTGTCCTGGGTCCTGCATCTCACATATTCAGAAACAATTCTTTATCTATCTTCATTCTAAGAAACAACAACTACAAAAACAGCTGCACATTGTTATCCTTATATGGCTTTTGCTGCTGGTGGTCTGCTAAATGGAGAAAGAGATATTATTAATAATTAACCTGGATATGATACTTACTCCATTCCAGTCCCTTTTATCTATTAACTCATTTAATCTTCACAGCCACCTGTTAGGTAGCTCCTAGAATTATCCCCATCTATAGGTGGAGAACTGAGGCTCTGAGAGGTCAAATGCTTGTTCAAGAGTGTATAGCAAGGAAGCAGGAGAGACGAGATTCATGTATAGGTAGCCCGGCTCTAGAGTCGGTAATCTGAACACTCTCTATTCAGCCTTCTAAATTATCTTTATGAATAAGAGTGCAGCTGTGAGTATGATACAGTCTAGTGGTTAAAGAGAATAAAACTTTAGAATCAGACTGCCTTGGGACAAATCCCATCTTCCCCATATACAAGCTTTATGAATTTTGGCAAGTTACTCTACCCATTTTTGCCCCAATTTTTCTTTATTCATCAGTAGATGAGAACAACAGTACGTGCCTCATGGGGTGTCTGTGAGAACTAAGTGAGATAATATGCATGAAAAGCTCAGCACCATGCCTCGTGCATGGTGGGTGCTCAATTCATGTCGGCTAATAATGAACAAGGTGAGCGTCTGGCCACTTACACCTCTCTGTTAGAGTCCGGTGTCTTGCTAGGCGTGTGAGATAGTAACTGTCCACCATCAGTGGTAATAATTAAGGCTAGTTTGGCCTTTTAGTCACAATATAAAGATGGCCTTAACGTTATGCTTTGCTGTGTTGTCTAACTGGAGTAAAGGACAAGGGTTTGATATGTACTTTAATCCTATAAGATGGATTTTTCAGGACTCTGATCAATGTTTACTTTGGTTGAAACGTTTTATAGGAAATTGAGCTAAAGAGGAACATTTACATAGCCTAGTGAATTCGGGAATAAAAGTATAAATCCATTTCTGTATCACACCCATACATACATGCTGACTAGACAATAACGTTTTCAGAAAAGGGTATTTTCTTCTATGAAAGTTGAACCTGTGAAAATTCATGCTTGAGAAGGAAGCTGAAATGACTTCGTCCTGGGTCGATGTTGGGAGCCATCAAATTCTTCTTCCCTCGTGACTGGTGTCACCTTTCCCCTAGCAATTTGACACTCTTGTTGGTGAAGGAGGAAGCCAGATGAGTGGTGGTCAGAAACAGAGAGTAGCCATTGCCAGAGCCCTCATCCGCAACCCCAAGATCCTGCTTTTGGACATGGCCACATCTGCTTTGGACAATGAGAGTGAAGCCATGATTCAGGAAGCACTGAGTAAGGTTTGTGGAAAGTCCAAGTTCATTTCACAGGTCTGTGTGGAAAAGCTTGTGCTGCTGCAGGAAAGGCAGCTTCTTGGGGTGAAGTGTGGGGTTTGGGGGGCTCCTGTTTCCAGTCTGATCACTTAGACCCAAGGGTATTAGCTGACTACTATCTTCCTCATAGTTGAACAGAAGATAGTTATGATTTGTTTACAAAAGCTGTACAATTTTAAATCTTGTTAAGACTATGTAATCTTTTTTTTTTTATTTTGCTTTTATTTTATTTTTATGGAGACAGAGTCTCACTTTGTGTCCTTCGATAGAGTACTGTGGAATCATAGCTCACAGCCACCTCTGCCAATCCCTTAAAAACCCAGGGACCCCCTCAGCCTCCCAAGTAGCTGGGATTACAGGTGCCTGCCAGAATACCTGGCAATTTTTGGTAGAGATGGGGTCTCACTCTGGCTCTCACTCTGGCTCATGCTGGTCTCAAACCTCGGAGCACAGGTGATCCACCCACCTCGGCCTCCCACAGTGCTGGGACAACAGGCGTGAGCCACCATGCCCGGCCAAGACTATGTAATCTTTAAAATTATACTTATTTTGTTTTGTTTTTAGCTGTTGATTAATAGCAGCAACAGGACCAATGTGTGATGGGGCTTACGCCACAAAAAACTGCTGGCCTTTTCAAATGTCTGCAAAGCCTATTTAACGCTCTACCAAGTGGATCCTGAGATGATCCAAAGGTCAATGTCAGCCTCATTTTACCATCTCCTTTAACAGTGCGCTGCATGTTCTTACAGATTCAGCACAGGCAGACGATCGTTTCGGTTGCCCATCGCCTGTCCACCGTCAGAGCTGCAGATGTCATCATTGGTTTTGAACGTGGCACCGCTGTGGAAAGAGGCACCCACCAAGAACTATTAGAAAGGAAAGGTGTTTACTTCACTCTCGTGACTTTGCAAAGTCAAGGAGATCAAGTGCTTAACGAAGAGGATGTGAAGGGCAAGTGTCTCTGCCCCTTTGTCCGTTATGTTAAATAGTTAATAGGTGTAGCGCTTTATGGCTTCCTGTGCATTTTGAAATTCACTGATTTGCTCTCCCAACAGCCCTGGCAGGCCTTGCGTAGGTGGTAAAGGAGACAACTGAAGCTCAGGAGGTTAAGTTATTTGATCCAGTCACGATGCTAACGCCAAGGTCTTCTAGCTTTAGATTCTATCCCCTTTCTTTACCCTGTACAGATAAGAGAGGCTTCCTGGAGTATGACATGCTCTCAGTAGGAGCTCCATGCTTATCGGTTGAGTAGATTAATCAATGAGTAGAAAGTGTTATACTTAGTTTCAAATGTGGATAGATATTCCAGGGCCTAGGGCCCTTTTTCAGACTTCATGGTTGCCCCAACATAAATTAACCAACCACTCCAAACTTTCTCGACCATTTCACATTTGGCTTTGTGAACTCTGTTAGGTATAACTACTGCATACATTTAACCCTGGATAACCGTCAGGAACCATCACACATGACATGTTATTCTGAATAGACTTGAAAAGTTTGGTGATTCTTTTTTTTGGCTATTTCTAGTGGATTTCTCTGACACTTTTTTATGAGTTGTGCTAATGATACCTATTTCTTTATAGGAAACAGGCTATCATACGGTTCACATGGCTCCATCTTGCTTACATTTTTTAAATTTTTTGTTAGAATGTGCTGGACAAGTTCCAAATTTTATTTATTGCAACAACGTTAATATGTTTTTGGCACTGAACATAGTAATTATGTTGTAATCAAACATAATAATAAAATATATTTAGATATGGTTCTGCTTATTGTATACACTAAGGAATTGCCCCTGCTGTGTTGTATAGGAGAAGATGAGATGGAAAGTGACGTACCTGAGAGGACCTTTAGCAGAGGGAGCTACCAGGACAGTTTAAGGTAAGCTCAAGCCATGGGGCAGATGTTAAGGTTTTCAAATATTCTTAGGAGTCCTCTGCAGGTGTAATTCCCAATGGCATATCTCAAGTACAAGCAAAGCCCCAAGCAGACTCCGAAGTCTTATGTTATGAAAATGCCATAATCCTTGGTGGTTCATTTATCTCTCCAATTCAGGGTTTTTTGGTTTAACTTTAGCATCTCATCTTATTGGAGGTAGGGGTCATGACGGAGATGCCCTATGGTTAAAATGTTGTTTATTGAGTTTAGGAAGGGGATTTTTAAAACATCTGTAATGTTTTTTATGCCTCAAGCTAACTGGTATAAAACACTGTCTTCCAGGGAAGTCAAATTCGTGCCTTTAGCTCTAGTTGTAAACCTACAAACCTGTGAATGAATTATAAACACTTCTGCTCCCTGAGGAACCCAGCAGAAATCAAATCATTCCTTAATTAGATGAAATAAGAAATGTATTTTTAGCTTTTAAAAACAATTTTCCTACACATGGGCTATTTATCTTGTTCTGGATCAATATAAAGATCATTACTTTCAAAACATATTTTTGTGGTATGCTATTAGTGAGATTATAAATTTTAGTCTTTCATTCGGCTTAAGAGTTTCAGTAAAAATGTTCCTCTAATGTTAAAAGTTTGTGTATTAACAATTATTCCCAGGAATATTTGCCTATATTCATGAAAATGTTACTCAAGATTTCTTTCTCCTAACTTAGGAGACAGGTAGGAGGTGAGGGACAGCAGCAATCTTTCTGTTGTTGCCTTTACCATTTCTAGGACATTTAATGCAAAGATGTGCGAAGCCTCAAATATAGGGCTTACCTTAATGGCTAATTGTTGAAAAGTAGTTAAAAAGGCTTAAAATAAGACATTCAGTTAACAACTCCATGTAGTTCAAATATAAAATTATTCATTTAAGTATTCAAAGAATAGTTCACTTAAAAGCATTACATGCATTTTCAAATGTAGAGATTTCAGGCCTTAGTGCATCTTTTCTTTATGAGTCTGAATTTTCAGACTAGGGTCTTTATTATTCCTCTTTAGAACAAGTTTATTCAAAAAAATTTTAACAAGGGAAAGGGGAGGGGAGGGGGGTGGATAGGAGGAGGGAGGGTGATTTGTGGGGTCACCTCTAGGGTTTATCTTACAAGGGTACAAGTGAATCTAACAGCAGAGTATGAATGTCTTAATAACTAAGAAAATGACATGAAGGCTACGTTAACCAGTTTGATGAAAGTATTTCAAATTGTATATGAAAACACCACACTGTACCCCATGATTGCATTAATGTACACAGCTATGATTTAATTTGTAAAAATTAAAAAAAAATTTAACCAGTGGTAATTCTATTGAATTTATCGATTTTGGAAAATAACCAAGCACTAGCTTCAAGTGACTCTATAAAGTAAAAGCCATAAAAATTGGCAAAATTATTAGGCAATTTTTATAAACATCTGGTGGTGAGTTTAGTCCTGATTTTCTGATTGGAATAAAAAATTAAAATCACACAAATAATTAGAATCACAACCTGCAGATAAGCCAACTAACTTCTCAAACACAGAGAAAGTAGGTGTCTCTTTTGATTGCTAAGCTAAAGGTTACAAAGTGGAAGTGTTTCTTGTGGTCTTGCTAAAAAAAAATTTTTTCTTAACTTTTCAGGTGAGAAAAATTCTGCCTATTCTAAGTAGTTTATTTCCAGTTTATTATTAGAACCAGGTAAACGTTTTTAATACAGACATTTCTGATTTGGCTATTGTACATTTTGGTGACTAAGATAAGAAATCCAGAAATACAATCTACAGACAGAAAGTAGCTATTAACCTCCTGCAAAGAAAGATACGTAAGTTTCAATGAGAAGGTCTATTAAAACTATCTCATTGTATATGCTGACAGATTTCTTTTTGCTTAATGAAATGTTAATTTAC